CCGTGACCTTTCAGAAGCAGACTGACAGGCCTTTCCTCCAAGGCACTTCTAAGTGGGTGTGAACCGCCTACCTTTTGGTTAGCAGTCAAGCACTCAACCATTTCCACCCAAGGACTCTGCCATACCTGCTGCTTTTCCAGCCACACCCACCTGTGTCTTTCGCCTTCCAAAGCCCTTCCTGACCACACATGTACATTCCGTGCCACACATTTTACGCCTGAATCTATGCACTGTGACTCTTGATTGGTCAACAACTGAGAGATAATTCATAGCCTCCCAGGCTGCACCTCAGGCCCCTGGGATGCAGCAGGGCAGCAATCCTCTAAACCTCTGAGGTTGCCTGACAAGCTCCCGGACGGACGGCTGCGTGCGCTGACAGCAGCCTCAGGCAGGGCCTGGAAATCCTCTCTGTGCCGCAGTGTGTGCCACAGAAGGGTAACAGGTGGATGCACGGCGGCATCAGACGAGGGCCAGAAGCTCGGCTCTGACTGTGCCTCGAGTGGGTGTTCAGTTCCCAACAAATTCGTAAGCATCCTGAGGGTGTGGACTCATTCATACTCCGCAGGTGGATTCTCAGTGCAGAGCACCTGTCCCCAAGGTGTTTCCAGACTAATACAGGGGGACCTGAATGCACACAGTGAAATGAACAAACCCAAAAAACCCACTACCATCAAGTCGATTCCAACTCACAGTGACCCTACAGAACTGACCCATAGGGTTTCCAACATGTAAACCTTTATAGAAGCAAACTACTGCATCTTTCTCACCCGAAGCAGCTGGTAGGTTCGAACCACTAACCTTTTAGTTATCAACCAAGTGCTTAACCACTGCACCACCAGGGCTCCTAGCATGTTCCTAGTAAGGAGTAGATACTAAAGCAGAACAGAGACTGCGAGAGTAGCGGAGGTGTGAAGGTGAGGTATGTGGGCCTGAAAGGAGCGGCGCTGAGCCAATTTGGATTTAGAGACCACTTCCAGGTGAGCAGAATCGCTACGTGGTGCAAACGTTAAAAGCACTCAGCTGTTAATTGAAAGGGTGGAGGTTCAAGTTCACTGAAGCGCATCTCAGAAGAAAGGCCTGGTGATCTACTTCAGAAAAATCAGCCATAGAAACCCTAAAACCAAAAACCAAACTCACTGCCATTGAGTTGATTTTGACTCACAGTGATCCCTGTTGGGTGTCCGAGGTGGTAAATCTTTATGGAAGTAGACTGCCCTATCTTCCTTCCAGAGTGGCTGGTGGCTTTGAATCACTCTGGCCTACATGGGGTCACCATGAGTTGGAACTGACTTAACAGTGGCCAGTTTATCCCCCCAGGTGAGTATGAAAAAACTGGGGGCTCTGCCCTGATAAGAGGAAAGGGTATGGGCTGGGGAATCGTAGGCTATGGAATCGAGGCTGTGATTGGCACCAGAAGTCCCTGTAGTAGTGAGCCGAGAGGTGATGTGATGGTTGGAGATGGGCAAGGTTAGGGATATGCAGGCTGATCATCCCAGGGTGGGAATGAGAGCCCACTCCTCAGTGGAGCCCAGGAGTACGAAGAGGAAGGGGCTGATTCAAGAGGTGCAGCTTAGAGGCTCAGCAGGCCATATGGACCACCTGGATTCAGAGGATGAAAGTGATGAGGCAAAGATGATGGCAGGATGCAGAGCTGGGCAGGGGGAGTGGGGGTGAGGGGGCTCCTGGTAGCTGCAATGCTCGGTCTACTGCCCGCCTCATTCTCTACCACACAAGGTGCTGCCACCTCTTTGTGTCTCAGGTTGGGCAGGATGACCTACCTTGGCAAGGATCAGAATGGAGCTTCCGGACAGCCAGAGGTTCAGAAAGGGCTGCAGCCGACAGACGTCATGACCAGCTCATAGCATCCTTGGTCCTGTGAAGGCTTAAAACAGAGAGGACTGGAGGGCCAGCGGAGGTTCTCGTTCCCGTTCCTGCTGTTCCTGAGCAGTGGACAAGCTGCAGGAGAGCCCAGTGGTCGTGAGGTCTCTCTCAGGCTCCCAGGCAGTCTGCTGAGAACACACGCCCACAGCTGGGGAGCGTCAGAGGGGGCTGTGCCTCCCCCTCCCACGGGCAGCTCGCCCTCTGACTCTTACCCAGAACTTGACGGCAGCCAGCACAGCCCCTCGCACACAGCAGGTGACCAAACATCAATCCCTGCCTCCTCTGCTTCCTTCCAGGTGCTCTCATTTCACTGTGGGCCACTCAGATCCCAGGTGCGGTCTGGCTCAGCAAACCCACCCTAAGCTGCCCCAGAGAGCTCCCTGGGAGGCACTGAGCACCACCTAGGCAGCTGGGAAGCAGGATTCCTAGATGAAGACGAGGTATCCTGGGACGGGGCAGTGGAGTAACAATAAACTCTAAGAGAAAAGGCATTGGAGACCTGGTCCAGTTTCTGCTTGGCCAAGTCACCTGAACTCTCTGAGGCTCAGGCTCCCGCTGTGAAGTGGGGAGCAAACCGCTGCTCCACCTCCCTTCAGTTCCCAGGACAGTTATCACAGTCTCTGGGCAGAACCACCCTTAGCAAACTCTTTCTTCTACCGGTGTGAGGGGCCTTAGGATTTTTTAGCTTTCCTCCTTCAAATTAAGAGGACAGCATCATTCATATTTTGATGATAAAAGGCAGGAACAATACAGAGTTTTAGCTTCATTAGCAAATCAAAAAATATATGCAATTAAAAAGGAAGTGACAAAGAAGTCTGCCATCTTTCCTAGGGGTTCAGCACATCACTAAGACCCTACAACACTGGCATAACTGGCCTTAATGCCATGTTCCCAGAAAAAATGGGAATTTTTTTTAGTGGACATTCAAGTTCTACTTATTTTTCAAAAAGGAGCTCTGGTGGCCTAGTGCCTAAGGCATTTGACTGCTAACCGGATGGTTGGCAGTTCAAACCCTTCAGCCACTTTGCAGAAGGAAGATGGGGCAACCTACTTTCATAAAGATTTACCCCCTTGAAAACCCAAACGGGAGTCGCTAAAAGTAATAATCAACTGGATGGCAGTGGGTTTGTTTTGTTTTTTTGATTTTCAAAAGGCTCTTGATGAACCTGACCAAGCTTCCTTGGTGATTTCCCTGGTCTCCTGTCTGTCCTGCCCTAAAAAAGGGGACTCGGGGCTCATTGGCAAAGGGGGCTCCTGATGCTGCTAGGCCAGCCTGGGGACACTCCCAGCGCCCAAGTTCACCATCTGGAGCCCGGGCCCTCTCACTCCCTCGGCTGCTCCTGCCTCCAGGAAGCTCGGTCTTGGGGTCCATCCGCAGCCTCGGCCGCCCCCCTTTGGACTGGAGGGCCCGAGGGAGTTGAGCTGGCGCGGAGGGCGGGTCTGCAGTTCGCCCCTGTACGCCCTGTGACCCGCACGCGTCTGCCTAGCACTGTGCAGATTTCGCAGCAGTTTGAACGCCATAACTTCCCCCGCCCCCCAAACCTCACTGCGACCCCGGCAGGAAGAACTTGCTCGTGGTAACCGCCCCAATCCGCAGGTGCAAAAACTTTGGCTCGGAGGGGCGAAGAGACTCGTCCACGGCCACAAGGGGCGGCTGCCTGCAGCCACTTCCCAGGCCCTGGGTTGGTCAGGCTGGTGGGACCGCGCCCGGGACACCTCGCCTCCGCCCCCACCGCCAGTCCCACACTTTCGGGCGAGCAGCTAGGGGTCTCAGAGGAGCCCCGCCACCCACGGAGAAGGCATTCGGGTCGGCGCTCGGACCCGCCAAGGAGCTCACGTACCGGATCGTGCCCAAATACCTCGCAGCTTGCCGGGAGCCCAATACCGCGGTTCCGGGTCAGGCCACGTGACCGCGCCACATGACCGCCGGACTCCGGGTGGGGCCGAAAGCCTACGGACACGCAGGTTCGAGTCCCTCCCCTGTCTGGCATCGCCCCGCCCCGTGGTGCTGCCTGCTTCAATTCCATACGGTGGCCCAGGGATCTTTGAATCCTGCAATCCTGTCGCCACAGTCCTCCTGTTACTAAGGCGGGATCGGGGCCCATAGGGTTGGGAGACTCCCTCAGAGCCAGCAGAGTCACCTGCTGTGTGTCTGACATTGTGCCAACCCTTCCACTTGGGTTATCTCAGTGGGTTCCAGACCGAGGCTCTGGAATATCGTTTTCCATTTTTAGCCCCATTTAACAGGAGAGGAAAGTGAGGCCCAGAGAGAAGCAATAACATACTAACGGGTCTACAGTGAGTAAGGAGCCGGCCCCACTCGGATCAGAAGCCAGGTTTCCTGGCTCCCAGGCCCACTCTTTCAGGCCCTACAATTACTTGCTGAACCCCGGTTCTGGGGAATAGCTACCCTGCTACATGTGACTGTTTTCTCTGGTGTCCGGCTTGTGTGTGGAGAAGGTGGGGGTTGAGCAGACAGCCTGCAGAAGGCAGGCTTGGGCCCACCCAAACCAACCCCACTCCATCCAGTTGATTCTGCCTCATAGCGACCCTATGGGGCAGAATAAAATCGCCCCATAGAGTTTCCAAGGCTGTAAATCTTTATGGAAGTAGACTGCCTCATCTTTTTCCCGGGGAGCCTCCAGTGGGTTCAAACTGCTGACCTTTTGGTTAGGGAGCAAAGTGTTTTAACCACTACACTACCAGAGCTTCCTGGCCTGAGCCCAGCTGCTCCCAAAGTACCAGTGCTGGCATTTCTTTATAAGGGTTCCCAGGCCATTTTGTAAGTGATGGTGGCACATTAGGGACTTTGTTTTGAATCTGTATTTGCAAGATGTACTTACATTGTATGTGTATTTCAGGTGGCCAAAGGGGGAAAGATTAAAGAAGATTAGGAAGGGTATTAAATCCCCACCCAAGACACCTGCAAGCTTTGGGCACAGCCCACCAGGGGTTGGGGTGCTGGGACTGGCTGGGTTTCAGCAGACTGATCACCCCCTGGGGAAAGGCATGGGCCAAGAATCAGGGCCTCACGGCCTCCAGACTGGTACCCCAAAACAGCATCATTCCTCTTCTACTCTTTCCAGCACTCTTAGGGTGAAATCTTCCCACTCCCCGTCTGCTGTGCAGAGCCGCCTCCATCCACTGTAGCTCTCTCCCCTGTAGTTGAGATGGTTCTGTCTGTACACTCCTTATTCTGCTATTTTCACTCACCATGTTTCCTCTTGTATCAAACTCTTCATCAGCATGAATTTTGGTGCCTGAATAAATTCCATCAAGTGGATGGATGTGGTGCTCTTTGCTTACTCATTTCCCTACTAGTAGTTTCCATTTCCAACCTGCAATGTATGAGGATTCCAATTTCTCCACATCCTTGCCAACACTTGGTATTGTCTGCTTTTTTTTTTTTTTTTTTGTAATTTTTATGGTTGCTGTCCCAGTGGGTGTGAAGTGGTATCTTGGTGTGATTTTGATTTGCATTGATAGCTAGTAATGCTGTGCATTTCTCCATGTGCTATTTGGAGAAATGCACAGCATTACTAGCTATCTTCTTCTGTTGTTGTTGTTATGTGCCGTCGAGTCAGACCCGACTCATAGCGACCCCTCCTTGGATTTCCGAGGCAGTATCACTAC